AGATGTTCGGGTCGGCTGACGACTTACTCAAATTCGTAGAGCCCTTAAATCCGAAGAAAAAAGAGGTAATAACTAAATATATGATCCCCGAAAGAAACAACTTAACCGAAATTTTCTTTGAGATAGTCAAGGCGGGATACGAGCCATCGATCACATTACAGGCTGGGATAGTGTCGCAAATAAAAGCTCGTTTTAACAGAACCAGATTTATAATAAAATCGCAAAACTTAATAAGAGACGCGGCAGACGGAAACATAACGGTAGATGACGAAGAGACATACAACAATATGAACAAGGCGATGTTTGCTTTTAATAAGGGCTTGTTCAATCCATTGCACAAGTCCTATTATAATAAGGAGGATTTTGAAATATACGAAGAAACGAAAACCATAGTGGCGACAGGAGTGTTTTATAGGGATGAGGGCATACCAAAAAACATAGTGGAAACCGACATATCCAAGGCATTCACTGGAAGCTAAATAAATATTGCCGAAGTGCCGGTCTTTAACCAATTTGACAAATGGAAAACTTATAGGGAAGCGGATTACAGGGAGATGTCAGATTACACATTATATTATATAATGGCAGGGGGGAACACTAAAATTATGTTCAACAAGAGGTATAACCTTGTTTATGGAAAGTATCTTAAACAGGCATAGACATTTTGCGTTCTAAAGTGCCCTCTTTCACTCACAGAGTGAATTATAAGGAGCTAATAGGGGAGCTGTGGGACAAACATATCAGTAGCGACGACCATTTAGACAAGCTGATAAAGAAGCTTATAGCCAATGTTGATATAGGATTGTTAGAGAGAACAGGGGGCACCGATCAGAAAAACGTTATATTCAAAAACCTCGGCGAGGCTTGTGATTTTCAAGCACAACACGGCGGGAAAATACACAAGCTGACGGAATACGAATTGACGGATGACGCCGAAGAAGAGGACGAAGAAAGTTATTACATAACGAACATATCGGACAAAGCGAAACTGAAAAACGGATTTATTTATATAAAGGAGCTGTTATTACAAAGTCATAACTTTAAAATGTATCAAGACTATCACAAACTGATCGGGAAAGAGGTAAAGGTATATAGTGTAAAAACGGATGCGGCAAATACTGAAAACAGACAAAGGAGGTATAGGAAACTGGAGAATAAGCAAAGAAGACGGAGTAAGATTACCGACCGTCTTATACAACCAACAGCCCATAGAAGCGAAAGAAATAACAACGCCCGAAAACATAGAATTAAAAATAGAGGATGAGTATGATATGCAGGACATCATAGGAAAAATAACACAAGCTAAACAGGTGATGATCAGGGCAAAGTATGCGGGGTCAGGCAAGTCGTATATATGCGAAAGAATGGGTGAGATGGGTATGAGGGTTCTGTTTGTTTGTCCCACTAATAAATTAGTTCAAAAATACGGCAGGGAAGCGATCACGGTTAATAAGCTTTTCGGCATATCCATAGGCGAGGAGAAGTTAGAACCAATGGATTATAGCGGATACGATGCGGTGATATTCGATGAAGTTTATTTTAATGGTTTAGGGGTGTTAAACAGGATAAGGGAATTTGTGGAAAAGAACCCCGAACTGATAATTATAGGAACTGGCGACGGTAAGCAACTGAAACCGGTAAAGGAGCTGACCAACACACAGGATCACGAGATCTATATGAACTCGTGTATAAATCAGATATTTAAATATAGCATCTACTTAAGGGAATGCAAGAGATTAAAGACCAAGGAGGATAAGGAGAAATTAAGCAATATATACGACGACATTTCTATAAACAGTGTGAAACCCAAGGAGCTAATAGAACGATACTTTAAATATACCAAGGTTAAAAACAACATAGCCTATCTTAACGACACTTGTAGGGAAGTATCGAAGGAAATAACTGCTGAGGGGCGAACAGTATAATTGGCGAGATCTTCTGCTGCCGCCGCCACCCTTGGTTGTCGAGCTAACGTGCAAAGCAACGGCAATCGCGGCAATCGCCTTAAGCGGGGCTGGAAACACATGAGGCTGGAAACAAGCCGGTAATTGGAGTAGCTGTAGCTGTGGCTGATCATGCTAAGCCCTTGTCCCCTCCAGCAATGCCAACACGGTCAAGGCAACGTAGAGGCAAGCACGCCTGCCAGAAGTTACGTGCGCAACCTGTGCAAGGTAGAAATGGTAGAAACTCTGAGCAAGGATTTCACGCTGCTTCCCTGCAAAAACCTCTATCCCTGAACCCAATGTGTGTGCCCACGCCTGGGAAGAGGTGTGGCTGTGCACATGTGCGCAGCTGCACTCGCCGCCAAACGCGCATGCGCACAAAGTTGATGGGCTTAGGTCAGTCGAGGCTCCTAGCGTTAGCTGGTGATCTGGGACTCGGTACATCATGCTGGACACGCACATCTTTCTCTAGCAGGCTGCGAGTATGGGAGGGACATATTGGCATCGCATGAATGAGTCTTAAATATCCACAGATGCACGATCTTTGAAAATAGAGCCGAAGGCAGCCCAGAAGTTGGTTATGGCTCCAATGGTCGCTGCCGTGGTCGTTGTATGCAACGTTTCTCAGAGTAGTATCACAGTTCGGCTCTCTGCCGCGAGCACTCTTTACGTAAGGGTGCTGAAGCCCTAGCTAAGCAACTCGCCATTGGTTGTTCTTCCTGCTTCACTTTCTGCTGTTCAAACTCTTGCTGTCCGATTGGGTCAGTGCTGCCTACGCAGAACTTGCCTGCTTTGGTGGCCTCCTGAACACACAATAGTCCAGACCGTTCTTGACTTTAAAAGCATGGACACCTAGGAGCTGCTGCCATCAGAAGAAATTGAACATCAGTTGAGCATCTATGACTGCAAACAAGATTTCACGCAAATAAGGTGTGACTTTAGCCAACGCACGGAGATGGGCTCTGGGATTGCGTCACGTCCCATTTTCAATCTGCGTCGTCGCTGCATCCCGCGGCAGCTCATAAGGACCTGAAGCCCGCTCCAAACCAGAGCAATTCATCCTACCATGATGTCGGTGACATGAAACCGAGGAGAATCAACATGGATACCCACCTCCATCACGCCTGGCGAAGGGATCATACGCGGAAATTCTCGATCCAGATGAGGTGATCGGCTTCCGTCTTTGCCTTGACAACAATTACACACGCGGTGCGACACGAACGTCATGGGTGTGTTTTTGAGAAAGACGTACCACGGAGAGGCGGTAGGCCGCCCAGAATACTCTGCGCCACTGGCGCTTCTTGATCACATCCGCCAGGGTCCGCCGAAGCCCCATCAGGCCTCGGAAGTGCCGACATCGCACAGCACACACCAACATGTGTCTAGAAATCGAAACTCCGGACTGGGTCGTAGACATCGGTAAGAAAAGCGGAAAACAGAACAGCAGAATACGAGGTAGGGGAGGTGATGATATGCAGAGAGTATCTAAAAACAACGAGGTATAAGTTTAATGTGAATTTTAGGTACGTCATCCAAAACATAAATCCTGAAACGGTGGTTTTATGTGACGCTTCGGCAGAAGCCTTGCGAGGCTCTCGCAACGAGGTTGAAAAGAAATCGCAAGAAGTCCCCATAGAGATTTTAAGGAAGCACTTTATATTTGCGTACTGTTATACCTGTCATAGTGTTCAGGGTAGTAGCATAGACGATGCGATAACGATATTTGATTATAACCATTGGTTGGTGAGTAAGGAATGGTTATACACGGCGATCACGAGAAGCACTGATTTAAATAAGGTGTATTTCTATAAGTATAGTTCGGATGTGAAAGAGGATGTGTTTAATAAAAACTGCGTGTATAATTATATGTGTCGAAAGGTTAAGGGATACAAAGAGCAAGACCACGCGGGAAAAAGAAAGGTCGATCACAAACATTTTATAACGGCTGACTGGCTTATGGAGAGGTTACACGGTTGTTGTGTAAAATGCGGGATAGAGTTTAATTTAAAAATGATAAATGGAAACATACATACAAACTTGACGGCACAACGATTAAATAATGACGACTGCCACACTATCGAAAACTGTGTAGCATATTGCAAGAGTTGCAACTGCGCCGCGAGTAATAAAGAAAAGTTTTAAAACCAAAGTTTTAAAAAATATATAGTTTATTATATATGTCCGAAAGTTTGGAAACAGCGCTCAGAGATTTAACAAACACCATACAAAATTTAGACACTAAATTACTAAATACACTCAACAACAAATATAATCAGAATTCTTTTTCAAACAAACCGCCCGAGAATAAAGACACGACCTATTTAAACAAACGAAAGACATATGTAAACAAACTGAACAACGGAGAAATTAAAGAACCCAAGCCGAGCACCTTAGAATATTACGAAATCGTAAACGATGAAGACACATATATAGTGAAGAAGGGTTAGGGATGAGGGGCTCTTAGAAATTTATCTTTACAATAATATTTGTAAAGATACATTATGATAGTCTTTTTGGATTTTAGGGCTGGGGATCTTAGGGAGGATTTTTAGGAAGATTATATAAGGAAATCGGAGGAAGTGGAACGGTCAAAAATGAAGGATTTTTAAAAGGATTTTTGAAAATGTAGGGTGGGGTACAGGGATAAAACGCTTAAGGTAGGAGGGCGTGGGCTGGGAAGTTACTGGAGCCCATCCCTAACTGAGGATTCCCTGATAATTGCGCACTCCCCTGTAGTGCGGAAAAAAACACAAACCATTGTAGGAGTGGCCCTCTTTTCCCACACACACACACACACACCAACGCATGTCCAAAACTATCCCTAGCAGACCAAGCCACCTGACAACAACACACGCTTCAGTTCAACATGATGCTGCGGATGATATATTAATTATTAATTTGGAGCAGGCAGGTTTGCAAAGATTTCTTCAGCAGAATCTTAACTACATGGGCAGGGACAGGTTCTCATCCACGGCCCCGCATACAAGACCAAATTTCACAGACGACTCTCTCGTCTCATTCGCCTCATCATCTCATCTCTGTGCTCGACACTCCGTCCTGAGGTCTGCTCTGCCAGCGCCGCGCGGAAGCTGACGACCTGCGCGAAAACACGCAAAGCTGTCCTTGCAGGACCCGGAGGCGGGCGCCAAGCCTCGTCGTTGAGCCGGACCACCTTCAGCCGTCTCTCCTGACTCGGTCACCCTCACACACGGGAACGGGGCTTTTAAAGCACTCCTCCAGCAGATCGGCAGGTTCGCCAGCGATGCGCCGCAGTGCTTTCTCCACGAACTTGGAGGTCTTGCGGCCCTCCTGGAACACAGCATCTGATCAGCTGTCTCGGCTGTGCCGTCCCCGGGCCTTGCCAAACTGCTGGTCGATCTCTCGGACGACGAAGAGGCCACCCACGGCCGCCAGCAGGAACTTGAAGACCGCGAAGACCCCGTAGAGCAGCAAGGCCCCAAAGCCCAGCAAGAAGAGGGAAGGCGTAGACTCCGCTGTGCTCTCACCGTCCTGGCCCGTTGCCTTCTTGATCAGCTGTGCCAGCATGTCCTCCGGCGACTGCGGATCATCTGCGAAGGCCGGGGAGGCCGCGGAGAAGGAGAGAAGTCCCGGCGCCAGAGACCATCCCAGCCGCGCCGCCGCTTGAGCCTCTCGTGCCTCTCGCGCCTCGCGAGCGCCACAGAGAGACAGAGAGAGAGAGAGAGAGAGAAAAAAACGAGGGGGGGAATTCTCTACTGAGTCAAAGGGGGCCGAACAGTGACTCGGATCCGCCGTCTGTTTCTCCGGGGGCCGGGCCGGGCCTGAGCGGCTTCTCGAGGCGACGCGAGGAAGCCGCTGGCGCTGCCGGCGCCACCCCCGCCTCCTACTTTCCAAAGCAGAGCTGTGCAAAGAGCCGCCGCTGCCAGGCGCGCCGCCAGAGCGCGAAGCGCAGAACCGCCCAATGCCAGCCGCCGAAGTCTCCCTCCCGCTTGAGCCATCACGACTGCGGTCACTGCGGGTCACTGCGGCGACTGTGCCCAAGCTGGGACAAAAAGACGCTTCAGCTGAAGCCGAGTGGCGAGTAGTTCTGCGGCCCAGGGGTGCGGTCCAGGAGTCCTGCGCTCGCAGTGCCGCAGTCCGCAGTCCTCTCCTCCAAACTCGCTACAGACAGAACGAATTTTAAATTAGAACTATATATGATTATATATGTATACACTCCCTCCTAGCCTTCCTGTCTTCCCTGTCCTGGGCTCGTGGATCTGAAGCGCTTCGCCGTCCCCATGACACCTGCCACATAAGCGCCACACAGAAAACTATATCTGCCGGATCCCCCCCTCTCTGCGAACGAGACAGACATGTCTCTCGGCGCCTCCTCGGATCTCCCGAGGACTCTCCCGATAGAGCTCGGAGCTGGGGCCGGGGCCCCCATACCTCTGAGCTGGAAAGCAGCTTTCGAAGGGGCGGGGCGCCGGCGGGGCCGGAGCCCGGTCCGGAGCCGCGCGGGTCGCGCGGGTCGCCTCGCGTCTGCGTCTCTCCCGATGAACTGGAAGGTGTTTCCTGCAGCGCAGAGCGGACCTCTTGCGGCCCCTCTTCCAGTCTCTGAGGCGGCTGAGGCGGCGACGAGGAGCCTGCGTGAAGCTAACCCGCCTGCGGCACCCGCCACTGCCGCCACTCCCCCTCTCGCGCCACGCTGATCTGCAGACCGCCAAAGTGGTGCAGCATTCACGTACGTGCAAAGCGGCATTATCGCGTGCAGGACGCACACGGCCTAGGGACCCGTAACCCCTGTTCCTTGAATTCCGCTCCAACAAAGTGCAAATCCGTGTGTCAGCTCTGAGATTTGCTGAGTGCAGCTGTAGCTCTTCCTTGCGCGACTCGTTTCAACCGGACCCACGGCCAATCCCACCCCTACAGAAGCGCCCAGAGTCTCCTCGCGGGCAGCATCTGGTAAGCAGCAGCAGACTGCTGCTCAGGACACTCATTCTTCATTGCATCATTGCAATGTATGATGGCCAGTCCTATATGTTTAGGCTATACAAACATCCAAAGGTGCATTCGGGCATTGTTCTGGGTTCTTTATGCCACTTGTCATGCACAAGGGGACGGGTCTCCCGCGAGCAGATTCTGCACACCTACTTATCGCACACAGCTTGGTGCTGCGGCGGTTGCTCGAGACTGGGAGATCCTCGTCTAGGGGCAGTGCACATACTATACCTGTTCTCCACGCCTTTTGGCTCACACGTCCATTCCATTCCTTTCCACTCGCTGCTGAAACTCCATCCTTTCCGCCGCTCTATTGTCCAAAAAAGCCAGTCGACGCCCAACACAAACATAGAGGCTTGGATGCAACATCGTATCTCTCTGCCTATTTATCTGATTCTTTGCTCGTGTGCATGTGGGTATATTAACATTAGTTGCTTGACAACACCGGAACGCCTCATTGCCACTTCCGCGAACGATCTTGCACGCTAACTTGCGGACTTGCGCCACCTGCCTCTGGCCAATGCCCGGGGTGTGGCCTGAGCTGGCAGGATGTCACGCGCATTCCCCGAGATGCCCCGATGCCTCATGGCGAGTCTGCAACTGTGTATGCCGGCAGAGCAAAAAAAGTTGCACAAAATCACGTGAGGACATTGTCAATGTGTCCGAATCACACGTTGCCCGGTGTCAGAATGCGGTATCTGAGTTGAACTCCGCGCCCGCGTGCTGGAGCTCACGACCATTCGCTCACCGCCATCACCGAGCATAAGCGACATGCACTCTGGCACCCGACATGGCCCTGTTCTTCGCACCGACTTTTGAGCGATCCGCAGCAACACACATGCATTTGCCTCCTTTCTGCACATCAAGGATGTGGATGCGGCTGTTTGCGCATCAGTTTTTCGCAACAACTCCGTGGATTTGGTTGCAAGACGCATTGCAGCCCCTGTAGAAGCTAGCACAAGTTCGACGACCCTCGACACATTTTGTATTGTGCCGATCACCCTGAGGGAGTTCGGACAGACTACCTCATCGAAGTCATGGCTCTACCTGTGCTCGATGCGCGGATACCCGTCGGCGGAGTGGAAACTGAACCGGAAGTTCCAGAAGCTGCGTCCTGCCGTCCACCTGATCCCCATCAAGATGGAGGGAGATGTTCCTGAACTCGGTGCTCATGAATCGACATTGACGGCGATGAATGAAGTACCATGAGGTAGCAAAGCCAGGAAAGGCATCTGGGTTCTCATAGTTCTCATATTCTACGAACTGCTGCTATCTTCAAACTAGAACTGTCTACACATCTTTCTTTGCGAGTTTGCGCGTTAATTTGTTGATGGCGGACACTTTGCTGTCCTGTGGACTTAGCATAATCATGCTTTGCGGGTATCACTTCCACGACATTTTCAAGGAAAGACTCTGACCAACGACGTCGGTGCCCTGCACTGCTGTGTCGCCGCTGCGGGCCCGTCCCAAGCTAGGGCATGCTAGGGCCCTAATTTGTGGCCCAAGCTGGCCTTCTAGAGCCTGGTAGGTCCGAGCCCGAAATCTGTCAGCTTGGAGCCCTGGGACGAGATGAACTGTCCTGCAGCTGTCAAACCTCAGCTTTCAGGCCTTATTGTCGTGTCTTCTTGCCTTTGATAATTGCCTCGATCCTGCTGGTCATTTCCCCTGCGGCGAGGCCCAGGACTGTGAGGGTCAGGGTCGTTCTTCTGCTACTGCACGTGTTCTAAGTCAAGTGGCATGGTTAGAGAAGTGTTTTGAGGCATGCCAGGGTTCAGGCCGATCCTCAGTGGCGGGGGCGAAGGCGAAGGAGCCTCAAAGCGAGAGCGAGAGCGGCGGCAGGCAGACGGGCTGACGCCGCTCTGAGACCGCTCTCTCTCTCGGGCTGTCGCCTGCCGAGCCGGAGGGTCGGTGCTTTGCCGGCCCGCCGTGCGGAAGACCACCCGCGGAGATCGCGGCCTGCAGAGGGCGAAACGGCTCCGAAACCCGCTTGAAAACCCTTCTGCAACCGCCCCCGCCGCTTCTCGCCTCAGCGGCAGGTCGCCCTCCGCGCTGTGAAAGCAGAAGCCCCTGTTCGCCTCGGACTGAGGCGTTAAAGCAGTGAGGCGAATTCGCGGCTGCGAAAGCGGCTGCGGCGGCCCCTCCAATCCGAGCTCCGGGCCACGGCTTCCGCAAGCTTGGCACTGCCAATCGGTGTTTCGCAGACCAAACGTGGGCACAAGAGAGAGAATCCGCTGGCCCGGCTGGCCCTGGCCCTGCCTTTGTAGGAAGGGCGGCTTGCCGATGATGGCCTGTGGGGACCGCGGCAAGGGCCGCGCCTGGGCCTGGCCCGAAGAGCCTCAGAGTCAGAGCGAGGCGAGGCCGAGGCGCGAGGCCGAGGGGCCGAGGCGCCCTCCTCCCTCCCGGCCGCAGCGAAACGCGGAGTTGCTGAGGCAGAGGCTCACGTTGTAGGGGACGGGACTCAGAAACCGGGCGGAGGCTCTGTCGGCGATCAGGACTCACTGAGGCCGTGGCCCGGGAGCCACCTGCCCGGAAGCTGCGTGGAAAATATCGTCACAACACAAACAAGAACTTCTCCAAGCGCGAGAGAGCTGAGGTCTCTGTTTCTCGGGCGCCTCGGCCGCCGGACGCGCGGCCTTGCCTGGCGGGGGCTCGCGCGCTCACCCTCCTCGCCCTGGCCTCCTTCAGACATGCCGTGCCCGCAGAGCAGCACTCGAGGCTGCGCAATATTCCTGAGACTGAGACTTCTGGAAAAAGTGCATGGGGGGGGGGGGGTTGACTTCCGTGCCACAGGGACCAGAAAGAGAACGCAACACGACAAGACAGGACATGGTCTGCATGTGCTCGCCGCATGGCCGCCAAGCGTCTTGCTGAGACCCAGCTCCGCCTTCTCCACCTCGCAAAGCGGCCTCTAAGCGGCCTCTCTGCGTCTAGAGCGCTCCCTTTCGGCCCTGCGCCTCGTAGTCGGAGGGCCCAGGCCCAGGCAGCGGCCCAGAGCCCTGCGCAGCGGAGTCGAAGCCCCGCGGGGCGCCCTCGAAGCTGCCGCGCCTCTGACTCTGATCCGCCAAAACGCGACACAGACCGCGCACACACACACACACAGAGAGACAAAAAAACACACACCGCACGCTTCTCTTTCATTTTAGGCCCCCCGGCAGCGACAAGGAGGGCGAGTCCAGGCCCACGAGCGAGGAGAGCCCGACCGTCTCTGCGCCGCTTGCAATGAAGCCTCAGACAAGGGCCCCGGGCCTCGCCGCCCCAGACCTCGACCTCTCGCCCCCTGCCTGAGTAGGGGCTGAACAGCGGGCCCCCAGAACTTCCCGTGACCGCCACCATCGCAGGCACTCCCAAGGCTGCAGACTCTGCTGAACTCGCCTGCGCTCCTCTCCCTCTTTGCGGATATGCTACGGCCCACACCCTCCGTGTCTCTGTCTCCCACGCTACACAACTTCTGCTGGGCCAAAGCAAGGTCTCTTCCTTCGCCCGGCACGGCCACCCATGAAGTCGAGTTTGTGGGGGGCTGATATGTGCAATAGTGTGCAACAGTGTGTGTGCGGCATTTGCTAATCCGACTCGTCTCGAAACTCCTCTCGCCGCGAGGCAGAGACTGTCAGAGACTGGCAGAGACTGGCACTGTCTGGCGACTGCGATGGGAGATGAAACTGACGGGACACGGCACTCCGCCGAGGCAGTCTGCTTGGCAGATGGCCTACTATATCTGCGCCACTTCCAGTTGGGCGAGTCCGCTTCAAGGGACAAGCGGTGCTCTGCTGTAGCACCACAGGTCTCGAAACCCGTTGAAGTCTGTGCCTCTTGACGCTTTGCTCAGGGTTTCGGAAACGCACGAATTCCGGAAGGCCGCAGGCCGCAGCGAACAGACCACAAATGCTGGCAACGAGAATTGGCCGCTGCACAGTAGCGCCGAGGAGGTGAGCAAAGCAGTGCTACATCAGGAATATAATTACTCACAAGTAAATTCAGGGTGCAAGCCTCTATAGCCTGCCCAAAAGTTGTGGCACGGGTCCGGGCTAAGCAACTAAGCAATGCATAATGTCTTGGTGACACTTGACCTGCTTCGGACCGCAGCACTGAACGAGGATGCCTGATTTAAGTCCAAGTATAGGTTCTAAGTTTGGGAGATCGCGGTATAGCGGAGCCTTCCGGAAGTCGCAAGAGCTCAGCGAGCCGCCGCCAGAGCCACCGAGCCAGGACCGCTTCAAGCCAGCTTTTCAGGTAGCCTCGTCCTCGTCGTACTGCGACTCCCCCGGCGCCAGCAGTCGGTATGCTTGGATGTCGTAGGCCGTGCCCATCTGCAGCTGCTCCTGCACGGAGCAGACAGCGTGACAGCGTGACCATGCGTGACCCTCCCGCAAAGTTTGCAAGGCTGCTACAACGGCGTGGCCGCGGGCGCCTGCTTGTAGCGTCGCTCCACCTGGAAGAGTCAAGCAAAGCGCTGCCGACGCGAGACGGGAAGCGGAGGCTGCAGGGCACCTCGGGGTGGTAGCGGAGGGCCTCGAGGAAAATCTCCTCGCGGAGGGCCTGCACGGCTGCGGAGAGCGCACTTTGAGCGAGAGATGGCCAACTTCGCGCGCCACAAAAACCCCCAACTTCCCCCCCCATGCCGCGAGGTCGATCTTCCGGCGCTCGAACTCGAAGTCGCTCAGGTCCAGCGCGGCACTCGAGGGCTCGTCCTGACGGCCGAGCCCAGCACCAAGCCGCTTCCGCTCCTCCCTCTCTCTCTCTCTCTCTCTCTCTCTTGCTTGCTTGCTTGCTTGCTGGGCGTCTAGGGCAGGGCGGACCTACCCTCGCACATGAGCGCTACGCCTTCGTCTTGTTCGGTGTGAAACACAGCGTGGTCCCCTAGGAGCTCACTGAAGGTTTGTCCCTTTCCCTTCCAAACAAACAAGTGTCCCCTGCTAGACCCATCACATTCCCAGCCTCAATGAGCTCACCCGGAGTCTGTACTAGTGTCTGTGTTGACAACTTTGTCCCGAACCTTGTCGGGCGTTGTCTTAGTTCCGGTGGCCCTTTCTGCTAAGGCAAGGCGGCAAAAAAACAGAGTGCACAACTAGAAACACCTAAGGACATGCGGAAGCTACTTCACTGGGGGCCCCGATTGCTGTGGTACTCTACTGCTCTCCTGGTTTCTGTGGGAGTTGTTGGCTAACAGTGCGGGGCCCTGAGGCGAGGAAACAGAAGGGGAAAGGGTTCATGTCCAGCTCTCTCTCTCTCTCTCTCTCTCTCGCTCGCTCTCTCTCTCTCTCTCTCTCTCTCTCTCTCTTCTTCCACACAGTCAAGCGCAGTCACGCCCCCTCCCGCGAGCGCGCCCTGTTGGTCTCGGAGTCCGTTCGCTGTCTACTTGAGATGAGGCTCGCGTCTTTACAACTCTGGTACCCCCTTTATTGAACACTAGAAACCCCCGAGCCTCATCTTCCATAGGGCAGTTGCCGGGGATGTCGTGCAAACTCGCACCCTATTCACCTATTGCAAGCTGACTACAGGCTCCGTATCCCCCGTAGTACAAGACAGCAAAGTGCAGCTTCTCACAATACTCATGAACAAGTTTGAGCTTGGGGGTACAGGCTTCACAACGTCTCTCTCTCTCTCTCTCTGTGTTAGCAAGCGAAGTGGAGGGACTTGCAAACAGGCACTTCTGAACTGCACAGCCGCTCTTTGTCGAAGGGATTATCGAGCATGAGGTGCCGGTGATGGATCCCGAACTTGCAAAGGCTACAAAGGTAACGGCGATGGAACGTAGAGCCCTTGTAACCTACGCTGCACATTCGCGCGCTTAAGGCGCGGCGAATCCGCGCGAACGAGGGCCCGGTTATTTGCCGGTCCTCCGGGCAGTGCAGCTGCTCCAAGTACTGCAGGGCCAGCGCCTGGTCCACGGTCACTCGGTGATCGGGATTGAACTGAAGCCTCGGCTCGGCTTTGTAGACATGCTCTAAAGAAGAGGTTAACACGCTCATTTACAAAGGAATTTCCACTTCCCAGCGTCGTGGAGTCCAAGAGCTCCAAAACCAGGGGAGGCACCGTTCCTGCGACGAGTGTATTTTCTGTGCTCATCTGCTGAAAAACACCTCTTTCCCGCTGCCTACGGCCTCGTAGAGGGCCGCGCGACCCTGGGTTCGTGGCAGGGACCTCAGGGCTGGGCTGGGCCCCGATGCGTGCAGCCACAGCGTCGCGAGCCACAGTGCCACTCTTCGCAGCCAGGAAACTCGATGAATTTCCGGCACTTCTCGTTGTTGATCCTGATCACCGGCGCTCTGAACATGCGAGAGATGCGAAAACTGCAGGAGAAAAGCGGCTCCTGTTCAACGCGGAGGCGTCGGGTGAGCCCAGGTTGCTGATGATCAGCTGCAGCTGGTGCTGCGTGTTCTTCCCAGGAAGCAAAGGCCGCCGCCTCCCCGCACCGGCCCTCTGCTGCCCTGTGTCTGACCGGAGAACTGGGCCTGAGCATCTCGGCGAAAATGCATCCCAGGGACCACATGTCGATGGCCTCGTGAGTTCACTGTCTCTCGGAAAGTGGCCAGAGAAACTCTTCCCGCGGGGCCCCGGGCAGGTCCGTAGTCTGCCCAAGAGCAGAGAACTTCGGGTGCCCGGTACCACCGAGTGCAAACGTACCTGTGAAAACCGCAACCGTGTGTGCCCAGTAGTCCTTGGTGCCCCTTAGTTGGCCCTGTGCCCCAGTTGGCCCCGGGCTCCGTGAGCGGCCGGAAGTCGCCGTTGCTCATCGCAAGGCGCGCCAGCCTGGACAAAACATCCGTCGCTCCAAGCCCCTCGTACACTAGTCACTCGTCTCTGACATGCCGAGACCCCATGCTGGGTTTAGGGCTCTGTAATTACATTTGACTCTTTGCTCAATGCTGCCCCCCGCACTCCGAGCATCTCTCCGAGGGGAGCACCCGTAGTCGCAGATCTTCAGGTCACAGTTGCTGTTGACCAGCAAGTTCCGCGGCTTTAGGTCTGCGGCAGATGCGCTCTTAGGCAAGAGGCACAAGAGGAGTCTGCCTTGCCTCGATGTATCACACCGGCCGAGTGCATGAACTTCAGCCCACGAAGGATCTGAGAAGCGCTGAGCGCGAGAGCTGCGAGGGCCTACGAGGGCTGTGAGGTCTGCTGTGCCTGGTAGATGAAAAACTGGCAGTGCTCATCGGAGAGCGGCTGGGGACTCTTCAGAATCGAGGCCAAATCCGTCTCCATGAGCTCAGAAACTACGTAGATGTCCTGATTTCACTGCATCCTGAACTTGCTTTTCGGGTTGCTCTTGCAGCAATTCTCCTCGAAGCCCGACTTCAAGCCAGGCAAGAAGACATACCTCCAAGATGCGAGCTTCTCTGGCCAAGTCTCTCTTCGCAGCCGGCCCCCCGCACCTAATATCTATGAGGTTCTCGTGGCGCAGGTGCCGCAGAATCTTAAGCTCCCGCAAGGTCCGCTTCGCGAAAGTGATGTCATCGAAAGCACTCCTAAAAGCGAGAGCCGCCGAAACCAGATGTGGGATTTTGCAGCTGCTTTCGCTGACTGGGCTTCCGGGCTCGATCTTCTTGATCGCGACCGTGTCTCCCGTGTGCTCATCCTACAGCAGGGCTTTTTGCAAGGATAATCCTGTAGTTTGCCATTAGGATCATTAGGAGCAGCGCCCTTGCAGAGCAGACCACGCCATAGGCACCCTGGCCCACAGCCTCCGAGACCTCAAAAAACTCAAAGAGTGACTTTTCTGCGCAGACATCTCTAAGTCTCTAAGCTTGGGGAGGCGCCGTGAAGCGCCTCGGGGCCTCACGGAGCCGAGCATTCCTTGTCCCCCCTCTTCGCTCAGGGCAGGGGCGGCAGGCGGCAGGGGCCTGGAAGTTGGAGCCGAGCACGGGCGTGCTCTGTAGCTCCAGCTCCAAGGAGTCGATCGGCATCTGATCTCTGGTCATGGACCCCAATGGACTTTCTCAAAACCCTCTCGCCTCCACTCCAAAAGAGTCGCGTCAAAGCGCTAACAGTCACCCCGCCGCGCCGCACGTGCGCCCGCCGGGCCGCCGGGGGCTCCCAAGCGAGCGCCGCCGGACGACTGCAGCGGCTTTGGCTTCGGCGATGCGACGCTTCGCGGTGACGGCTTTGACGGCGAGGCCGCGGCCAGAATCCATTGCCCAAAGCTGAAGCCGAAAACGCGAGACGGCACTGACATTTCGAGAATCAAGCTTGTCATGTCTCATAATGTCGTTGAATTTCGTGGCGCGGCCGAACCCTTTCATTTTCATGGACAGCAGCAGGCAGCCGGAGTCCACGTGGACGTGAAGAACCTTTACCTTGCAGTTTCGAGACCAAGCAAGCCTATTTGTGTTGAAGACACACAATGAGACAATCAACCAGGCCAAGGCGGTAAACTTCGATATGCAACACTCGATATCCAAATGATCTCAAACAGTACAAACAGATCGCTCGGTCAACCTTTGTCCTCGGTCCGGTCTACTGGCACGCTCCTGCACCCTCCACAATGGACGCCATCAAAATTACGAGCCGAAGTACCGTCAAAAGCGCTTCTTTGACAACTAATTCATTTAAGCGATATCTAAATCAAATGTGCAAATTCTATGTAAACACTGTTCGAATTTTGAAGTTCTGAACAAAACATGTATGCGCCAGCCACCAATGCCAAACTTAGTTGGCATTCACTGTATATTTTTCCCCATGAACATGAACGGTAGCGACTATCTTTGACAGTGATTTCTCCGCCGAGGCCAGAGCACCTAATCCCCGTTTTTGCGTCCATTTTCCGACGCCCGCACGGCCTCCCTTGATTTTACCTGACTTGTCGGCCTTTGCCTCCTCCACCCCCTCACTTTTTGCTGTTTTTGGTTTTTTCCGGCTCTTGCCCACCCCTGCCTACACCCCCCCCCCTGCCCCCGCCTCCCTGCCAAGCAATAGACCCGCCTTGCCTGCCCTGTGTTGCTGCCTCTGTTCCCTGTTTTTCTGTCTGCATGTTCTTTTTGTTGGCCGTTCTCTGTGTGCTGCAAGACTCAGCTCCTGCTCTTTCTTTCCTGCTTGATTGCCCGCCCACCTTTCCTGTTCCGGCTCCT